ACTGTAAAGCGGATACCCACATGACGCTAATACCAACGCAAAGGAAAACTAAGGTTTATTATCATATATGCTAAGCAGGTCAAAACATTCTGGGGAATTGCATGAAAAATAAATCATGGGATGGAACATTTTGAGCAAGTAATAAACACGTGCTCCACCTGGGTGAGACGGAAAGCTATATTAGGCAGTGCAGTGAGCGTGTAGCTTGAGTCAACGAACACTGCACGTCGGAGGAAATAAGCCATTGTAAAAAAAAAATTGGGTTGTGTGTATGTTTATACAGCCTAGAACTTGGTCTGCCTCACAGGGGCGACGAGTCTCCCAGCTGTAGATGAGAAGTCTAGCCAGTGCGGTACAACCGCTAGCCTGGGGTCTTTAACGTGCATCACGCAGCAGTGATACTCGACCGCACGCCGGTACGATGCTCATCCAGATCGAAACGGGCAGGGGTGGGGCTCGAACCCAGGATCCCTGGGTTCTGCAGCGCGAGCTTTCGCTCCACGTGCTCCGAGCTGGTGTGCGCTAGACCACTCGGCCACCGATCCCCATAAGCCATTGTAAAAAACACAACGGCTGTGCAAAAGAAAAAAAAAAAAGCTGAGCCTTTCGGCGAAACGTTAACTGCTACACCATAAGGCGTCCGGTGAGTCTATATTTAAGTACAGCGAAATAAAATTTATTTAATTCACTCTACTGAATCGCCCGTAAAGTTACACTCCATTCTTCAAAAGCTTTCTTGACGGAACACATACGCTCCTCAACCTCCCCCTCCTCCCCCCCCCCCCTTCCAATCAAGAAAAAAAGAAATTTTGCCAGGCGATTTAATATGAAGTCAGGAGACTACCGAATCAATGATTTGCTGGAGAGTCACGCGTATTTTAATAAAACAAAAATACCCAACTGCTCGAAAGCGAAACCGAAACACCGGCACATATGCTCATGGCCGGAAATCACAAGGTTACACCCGATCAAGTTTTTTCTTAATTTTTATTCTTTACTTTTTGGGCGTGTTAATTAGACAACAAGATAGAGGGGCTTAGTAAACCGGGGTTCCGTTCCCCGCACGTTAACGACCCCCCAGGCAGCTTCCATTGTTCGCAAATTTGACTACACCTCATGTGACCAAACCAAATACGTGACGTCGCAGAGAATATGGAGGCGACCAGGGAGTGGCCGGCCCCAGCTGGGCCGGAGCATTGGCTGGAGCTTCTCGGACACGCTGTTCGTTGTCGTTGGTCTAAGCGAGTTGATTTCAGATGCCTGAGCCGTCATATGAAGCCGGTCGAAAGCGAGTTCAGAGTTCAGCGTGCTCTCTTGTAGGTATAACGTGGAAATATAGAGCAACGATGCCCATTTCGCTGGCTATCGATTGGTATATTGCCACGGTGGAGACAATCGGACCTGCGTTTCTCGGACCTCGGATTGATTTGGATATCGCTAGGACAGGGCATGAAGTTTTTGTGCTGTCGTTGACCATCGGGATTTTCGAGGTCTCCAGTAAAGTATGTGGAATGTATTTTATAAACAGTTTAGCCACGGAAATTGCACCAGTCGTGATTGGCAAAGTGCCATGCTTTAGACGCTTCGTTCAAATGTCCGAAGACTCACTTTGGCTGCGCGCCGCACCGAAGGGCTGCCTTGAAGCTGGTAGTTGCCGTGCCGATCTAGATAATGCTCTGCTTCCTCCAAAATTGTTCTGGTGTGGATGCGCACTTTCACGGACCACTGTTGTTCCAGTTGGTATTGAATCCCCTGGCATGCCGCACGTTTCGTCGGCACAAAGATTTTACCAACACTCATTACATGAATTGCAAGCAGTATGAACATTTCACGTCGCGTATCTCACCGGAGTGCGTGTTTTCTACCCATCCCATACGTTCAGGCTGCTTTACGGCGACAGTCTGCAGCGGCTCATTACAAAAAAAAAAATTGTCCCACATCAATTTCAGTTCCGTTCTTCCACGGCAGTCGTCGAAACACCAGAGAATAGGACTTATTCAAACAAAATTCTATTAAAGCAATGCAGCTTCTTTACTGGTAAGGATAAACTCTTTTTAGACAGACTTGTAATATTGTCGCGGATGCATGATCCAGTCCATTCTTTTATCAGTCTTTACTATTCTGGAAAGTTCAGGGCCATAGTCGGCTGTCATCGCATGTTCTGGTGGAGGTGCTGGGTACTTTAATCTTAGGTCTTCACTCGACTGTCACCATTTCTCTTAAGCGTAAAGCACACGAATCGGCTCCAGATCACGTCAAATGGAAATGCAGCACTCGAGTCCAATTGTTCCTGAGGTGAGTTCACAGTGATGGCTGACATAACATTCTTGTCGAACAAATCCCCGAAGTATCAAAG